CCATTGTCAAAAACGATACGTTGTGTTCTGCACAAAATGCTGCCAGGTGGAGTTCTACATTAGAAACTTTGCTGCTGTATTTTGCTGCTTCAGAAAAGGGTGAATTGCGTGTTTCCGATATTTTAATGGCCTTAGCTCTTTCAATATGTTTTGTCGTCATAGCATGTGCTTTTAAATCACAAACGCCCCCAAGTAACTTCAATTCACAGCCACAAAATTTGCAAAAAGCAAAGTTGTTGATGCTTTTTTTAATCCATGGTTTTAATAACGGATTTTCCTCCCAGGGTTTATTATAACTTCTATATTTGTTTTGCTTAGACACTGAAGTGCTTGGTGATGACTGCTCATCAGATTTATTTGATCCTGTAGGAAGTCATTATTATTAGATTTATATATACATATATTGAATATAATTAAACAATAGCTTACCATTTTTTGAAAAATATTTATCCATTTTTTTTAAACCAAGCAAAAGTAAACTATTTAATGCACAATTTTATCACGCCTGTTGTCACTAAATTTCTTAAACAATAAAAAATTTACAGTTAGACGTTTTTTTCAATTTTGCTATTCTCTCTTTTGTTTTTATTCGCGGTATGCGTAGTTGTAACAAAAAAGGAGTAAGAATAAGTCAAACAGAGTTGTATTTTAAAGGAATTAAAATATGTTATGATTTTTTATTTACGTATTCGTCTGTCATTTATTAATTCGTTAATTTAAATATTGTTTTTACATTAAAAATATATAAACTACTCTAGTAAACTGAAAAACTTCAAATTTATAAAAAACTTTTTTTTAATATAAAAATCTTTTAATCTTCACACTACCTCAAAAAACTTCAAAATGAAGATAAATCTTCATATATGGCAACACTGATTAAGTATAAAAAATTTTACTTTAACCCTTTTTGACTATGGAGTAAACTTGAGGTGCACATTTTTAAAAGAAAAATTTTGTTTTTAAAACTGATAATTTACGTAATCCTTTTTTACGGTCGATTTTCAATCTAATCTAAAAATACAAACTTTATATGGTCAAAAAGCTTTAATTCATAAGTTTTTATACTTAATATAGAATTTTTTTATTTCTGTTATTCCTTTAATTATATAGAGCATTATTCAAATAGAGAGTGTTTTTTTCGAATTTTTGAACTTTGGTGTTAAATTGTTCCCAAGTGCCTTAAAGGGTTAATCTACCTTTTTTCACTCTATTTTAAATGTCGGACTATATATATATTATTTCGATATGGTACACTAAGAATTCCCAAATATTGCAAAATTTCACCTTGCACTCCACAGATTACGGGTTAAGAATGTCCGATTTTAATAAAACTTCGGATATATATTTTGTATTATCTAGATAATACTTTATTTAAAATGTGCAACAGTAAAGAATTAATACGTATTCTCTAAAATATTACAAAAAATGCGATTTTCCCGAAATCCGCCGAGTTCAAATCACAAGTACAGCTAAACTGCAAAAATTATTAATCTAATTTTTTCACCGTTTAATAGCCTTATCTATTGACCATAAATACCCATTTCGTAAAAATTTTGAAATTTGTATAACAAAGTTTAAACAAAAACCGAAATTGGAGATTTGAAAAAAACTTTTTTGACCATAACTGAGAACAAGTTAGCGTTATCTTATAAGGGCAATAACTGATATTCGAGTAATTATAGATATATTTTAAGTAACAAAATGTTCTTTTTAGAATATATCCCAAAAAAGTAAATTTTTTAGTCACATTTCGAATTCATGTGCTGTGGGACACGTTAATAGCCTGGGGAATTTGCTATAACTTTTAAAGTTTTCAAGCAATTTTTGTGTTTTATATCATTCCGAAATGCTTACTCTGTGCACATTACGATTCCTTTGCAACTAAGTTAAAAATTTATTACTAAATGGCCAAATTTGAGCAAACACTGGAAAAAAATCTATATTTTCCCCTTGTAAATGCACTTGAAAACTTCAGAGCCGTTGGGGCACCTGTTAACTTTATCCTATCAGCCTAACTTTTTGTATGACATAGTTTTACAACCCAAAGAACAATTCGTAACTTCGTTTTTTGGGGATTTTTCGGGATTAGAAAATCCCGAATCCCGGGATTTGCAAAATAAATCCCGGGATTTTTTCGGAATTAGGATATCCCGAATCTCGGGATTTTTCAAAATGAATCCCGGGATTTTTCAAAATGAATCCCGGGATTTGTTACTAAAATTTTTTTTTTTTTTTTTGAGCCATAATTTCATTCAATTCGCTTGAAAATTACGATCTTAGTTTATTTTTGATTTATGCATAACAAAATTCAGCACAGCTAATCTTGTAAGTTTTAAACCTTTTATTTATTCTAGTGGTATGATACCATATATAGTACATTCAAATTTATTTTTTCATTTCGTCGTAGATCCAAAAAATATACACATTCTTTGTCTATAGTACACTCAAGGACCTATGAAAATCAATTTGATGCCAATATTAATATCAACACATTTCAATCAGCTATTTGATGAAATTCATTTTTAAAATAGAATCGATTTGAATCTACAAAAATAATACAAAAATTGTTTAATATTCAATTTCTGCAAATTATCATATTTTTTTTAATTGATTCTCTTAAATGGAAAGTATTTTGTTGTCTGCGTAGTATTTTGCAAGAAAATAATAAACCTCGATCGAAATTCATCATACCTTTTCAAATCGTTCGAATTCCATCACATACCGGAATATTTATTTTATTTCGGCACAGTCAAATATAAAATTAATTTTTAAAATGATATCTACATAGGAGATTTTTTACAAATCTGAGTGATAACGGTAAATTAAATTGTTCTGAATGTAGATAACATTTTCCAAAGAAAAGGTTCATTTATGATCTAAATTGATATTCGATGGATTGAACGTTATATTTATTATACCCTACACCACTACAGTGGGGAGGGTATTATACGTTTGTGCTGATGTTTGTAAAAGTAAAGTATACCGATCGACTCAGAATAACTTTCTGAGTCGGCCGTCGTTTGGCCCTAGCACCCATACGAACCCCCCTTTAAAAAATATCTTAAACGTTCAAAAATTTACTTATAACCTTTATATAAAATTCCATCCCTCTTCCCAATTTTTAGAGGAACGGCCCATATTTGACATACAGCCTCTTTTAGAAATTTAGTTTTTCATCAATAAATTGCTTAGATACATCGGAATTAAGGTAAAATTCAATAATTCGGCCATGTCCGACTATACTTTTCTACTTGTTTTTATTTAGGAAGTATGTATGTAGTTACCAAATTTCTGATATTATGATATTCTAAAAGTTTCTATTAAAAATATAAATTAATTGGATTGCTTTAATTTAAATTTATTTTCTGTCGATTAATTTCCACAAGATTAAACAATTTTCTTCACAAACATGAAGATTTAAGATTTCCATGTATAAAATAATTAAATTTATGTAATCCCGAAACCCCGTAAAATCCCGAAATCCCAAAAAATCCCGGGATCCCGAAATATCCCGGGATTGCAATTTTTAAAATCCCGAATCCCGGGATTTGTAAAAGCCAGTCCCGTTTGGCATCCCTAATACATATACTTAGCTATGTCCGTCCGTCTGTATATCCATATAAACCTGGTGCGCACGCTACAGGTCGCAATTTTCAATATCATTTTTTTTTGACCCAAGGGAAAATGGTTAAAATCGGTCCATTATTTCGCATAGGCCCCACACAACCGTACCCCCGAAAAGGGCTTTTGAGCTCATAAACATGTTAAATGTTCTTGTATCACTCCAAAAATCGGCAAAATTTAGTTCTATATATATAAGTCTTAATAATACAGCTAATTTTCGAAATGATCGGGCCTCATTTTACCCTATACAACGTCCCTTTCAGAAAATGACTTAATGGTCAAAATGCACTTATAAACATTAATATAACGATGATATTCTGCATAAATAACTTTAATGTAGACATAAATCCCTTTACAAAAATTTATAAGGATTAAAATATATAACCGCTTTATTAGAAAATTCCTTTTTTGGTCAACAAATTGTTAAAATATTAATGAGTTAAGGTAAACATGAAATAAAATACTTTATTATTAAAAAATAATCAACATTTTTAACGTAATCACTAGTGTAGGATATCATATCATCGGCCACGCCCGACTATAAATTCTTACTTGTTTTTATATACACCATCAAAAAAGATGGGGGTATTTTGAATTTGCCATTCCGTTTATAGTCACAGACCCACAAAAGTATATATATTCTGGGTCCTTATAAAATTCTGAGACGATCCACAGTGTCGCCAAAAGCCAATTTAGCTGAAAAAAGTCATAACTTCATTTTGGAAGCAGCTAGAAGCATTTTGGAATTAAGTATTTCTTGATAAAAGCATTCTTCGTGTCAAAAATTGTCGTTATGAGTGAAGTTTCCCATAGAAACTCATATAATTTTTTTTTTAAATTACGAAATTTTTACGGATTTATTCATTTAGAGGTCTTCTGAACCTTTTTTGACCATTTTTGGAGTGAAGTATTCATTTGCGCATGTACTAAAGTGAAATGAAAAACCTGAAAATTTTCAATAACTTCGATTTAAACACATATTTGCGTGAAAGCTAATACATACCTTGCATTATTCAGAAAAAAAAAGAAGTAACGAGTCAGAGTGTTATATTCGGCTATGCCGAATCTTAAATACCCTCCACCAAACTACTTTTTATGAAAACCCTTATAAATATTACTAGATACTTATTTAATAAATTGTGAAAGTTTAAATTGTGCTCCCGTGATGATGGTGCTATCATTTAGAAATCAAATATACTTCAACTTCAAACTATTATAGGAATCATTACAAATAAAGCTAGGTATATTTTGAGGGTTCTAATGCACATACACATAGAAAATGAAAAGTATCAAAAAAATTAAGTATAATTTTTATAACGTTAAACGTATTTAGTTATGTATAACATTGATAAATTAAATATTTCTTTAATTTTCAGAATGGCTTAAATGCGTTACATTTGGCAGCCAAGGATGGTTACATTGATATAGTAGCTGAGCTTTTGAGACGAGGTATACGGGTCGATAATGCTACGAAAAAAGGAAACACGGCGTTGCATATAGCGTCGTTAGCTGGTCAAAAGGAAGTTATAAAATTACTCATTCAGTACAATGCGAATGTTAATATTCAATCATTGAATGGCTTTACGCCACTCTATATGGCCGCTCAAGAAAATCATGATGCATGTGTAAGATTTTTACTTTCTAAGGGGGCAAATCCTTCATTGGCAACCGAAGTACGTATGCATAATTTTACATTAGTATTTAATAAAAAGATTTATCTAAAGTTATGTTTTTTACTTGTTAATTTTTAGGATGGCTTTACACCTCTGGCAGTAGCCATGCAACAAGGTCATGACAAAGTTGTGGCGGTATTGCTGGAAAGTGATGTTCGTGGCAAAGTTCGTTTACCTGCTTTACACATTGCAGCCAAGAAAAATGATGTAACGGCGGCAAACATGTTGCTACAACATGAATCTAATCCCGACATTGTGTCCAAGTCGGGATTTACGCCACTGCATATTGCTGCGCATTACGGCAATGTGGATGTTGCCAAATTGTTAATAGAGCGTGGAGCGGATGTAAATTTTACGGCTAAACATAATATTACGCCCCTTCACGTTGCATGCAAATGGGGAAAGACAAATATAATGAAACTGCTGCTTGAGGAAAACGCACGCATAGATGCTACAACTCGCGACGGCCTTACTCCGTTACATTGTGCCGCCCGTTCAGGCCATGTAGAAGTTCTTGAAATTTTGCTCGATCATCAAGCTCCGATAATGTCTAAAACTAAAAACGGATTGGCGGCTCTACATATGGCTGCTCAGGGGGAACACGACAATGCAGCTCGCATTCTCCTCGAACATAATGCGCCAGTAGATGAAGTAACTGTGGATTATCTGACCGCTTTGCATGTAGCTGCCCATTGTGGTCACGTACGTGTGGCTAAACTGTTATTGGATTCCAAAGCTGATCCAAATGCCCGAGCCTTAAATGGTTTCACACCGCTACACATTGCCTGCAAAAAAAATCGAATAAAGATTGTGGAATTGTTGTTAAAGCATGGCGGAAACATCAGTGCCACAACTGAGTCTGGACTTACACCTTTGCATGTGGCTAGTTTCATGGGCTGCATGAATATTGTTATATACTTGTTGCAACATGACGCGAATCCCGACGCCCCTACAGTACGTGGCGAGACACCCCTACATTTAGCCGCTCGAGCCAACCAAACCGACATCATTCGGATTTTATTGCGCAATGGAGGTCAAGTAGATGTTCGTGCTCGCGAAGGCCAAACCCCGTTGCATGTGGCTTCACGCCTTGGTAATATTGACATTATAATGTTAATGTTGCAGCATGGCGCAGACGTTGATGCAACTACTAAAGACAATTACACGCCTCTTCACATTGCTGCCAAAGAGGGCCAAGAGGAAGTGGCACAGATTTTAATCGAAAATAATGCCAAATTAGATGCTGTTACTAAAAAAGGCTTCTCTCCCTTACACCTGGCTGCCAAGTACGGAAAAGAAAAAGTAGTTGTTTTTCTTTTGCAAAAAAACGTGAATGTTAATTGCCAAGGTCGCAATGATGTGACTCCTCTGCACGTAGCAGCTCACTACGATCATCCCCGTGTGGTTCAGCTTCTATTAGAAAACGGAGCATCGCCTTCATTGAGTGCCCGAAATGGACATAGTCCTTTACATATCGCCGCCAAGAAAAATCAAATGGACATAGCTCAATCATTGTTACAACATGGTGCAGAAGTTAATTTTCGAAGTAAATCCGGGTTTTCACCAATACATTTGGCCGCACAAGAGGGACACATTGAAATGGTGCAATTGTTACTGGAGCACGGAGTGGACGCAAATGTTGCAGCTAAAAATGGTTTAACACCTCTGCATTTGGCCGCTCAAGAAGACAAGACGGAAGTGGCACGCTTGCTCTTACAACATAACGCCGATATATCTGAGCGTACAAAAAGTGGTTACTCGCCATTGCATTTTGCCGCCCATTATGGTCAAATTAATATGGTCAAATTTCTATTAGAAAATGATGCCAATATAGAAATGTCAACTAATGTCGGCTACACACCGTTGCACCAAGCAGCACAACAGGGCCACACCATGATTATAAATTTGCTATTACGACACAAAGCTAACCCTAATGCTGTTACAAATGTAAGTATTATACATTATAAAATTTTATGTAAATAAGCTTTTTGTATATATTATGAAATGGTAAATCGACATCGATTATGATTATTAACCCACGAAAAATAAAACGAAGTACTTCCAAAAGAATGACATTTATCACCACTTCAAAAGTAGCAATAAGTGAATTTTTTACCCTTTTGAGGAAGTAACTTGGAATATGTGAAAATAATTCTATTTTTTCAATGTTGAAGATATCGTTAGCTTAGTACGCAAACGTAACAAGTCCTCTTTTGAAAATTTTACAGGAGAAGCAAAAAACTTCATAACTTCTCTTGTATTTCATATTTTTAAAATCTGTAAACGTAGCTTTTTTCTTAGATTTCTCCTTTTTTAATATCGGTAGTGAAACAATTTAAAAATAATGCTGTTGAATATTTATTGCGGTTTTTTTAGGACTTAGCTCGTTTTCTTTTTCTGAATTATTATTTTTTGCTGGACTTAGCACATTTTTATGAGATAAAAAAATTTATTTTTGGGCTATTAAATGTGTCTATTACCCTTATTAATGTTAATATTATTAAGGTCAAATTAGTTGTATTCTATAATACTACAATTTCACTTCCGAATATCTCCCAAAGAAAGAGCAAAAAAATTACCTCTTGAAAATGACTTCAGATGTAGTGAATTTGAATTCCCTCCTATGACAAGCCTGTGTTAAAATCATCACTTCTTCAGGTCTTTTTCAGTACGTCCATGAAGTAAGTTCTACTTCTACTTCACTTTATTGCAAGTTCTTTATTTGTTGTAAATCGATTATTGCTATAAAAAATCATGGAAATCAATCGAGCAAACGGTTAAGCTACTGGCCGCATCCAATGGTGAATAAATCATAAATAACCGTCACCTTATACAGTGGGACCTGATTTTCCGTAATTAAATTATTCGGCAACATCAATTATCTGGGATGGAAAAATAAATTTTTTTGTACCGATTTAATTTTATTTTGGATTAACTTAAATTTTTCTGCATCGTTTAACCGTGATTACCTCTATTATACATGATTATAAGTAAAATTATATTATTTTCTAACAACCATGCACAATTAGAACAAATCGAAAAGGGGAATTCTCTTGAAACGAATATAAATATGAACATATTAATTTATTATTTAATAAAAATTTCTATTAAAAAACTAGCCAAAATTGGCACTCAATTAACCAGGAAAATCGATTATACAGAATGCTTCCGGTCCCGAACATCACAGAAAATCGAGGTCCCACTGTAATTCTCATATTCCAAAAAATATAAAATTGTAAGGTTATTCATAAAAATGAAAAAATATGCACAACATTGATAAGTTTTGTACACTGGGCCTTTTTTTAATCGGTCCTCACGAATACTAAAAATATTTTGGGAACCATCAAAATATATTCACTAGTATATACATATGTACATTAGCGTGGGTCGAAAATAGGCTTTACTCTCGGATCAACTTCTAATAGTGAAAATATGTTGTATTTTAACATCAAATGGAAAACTGTAAAATATTATTCAATTATTTTGAGGGTAAGAGCCCGCGCATCGCCGCCAAAGTTTGTAAATATTTGTAAAAATGTTAACATGAATGTTAAAATTCTTCATGTAAAATTTGATTCTAGCTCTAATAGTTTCCCAGATATACGAATTTTTATATTTAATTTATATGGGGGCTTCAAGACCCCTAGATGAAAATCCTCACTGTTTTTTACAAAATGTTCAGATGAATATTAAAGTTCTTCGTGCAAAATTTAAATAATTTAGTTCTATTAGTTTGCCATATAAACGAATTTTTGTAATTAATTCATATGGGAGGTACCGCTCCCCTCATTGGTAGTCCCTCAATTTATAACCCAAAATGTTCACATGGCTACTAAAGTTCTTCGTGCAAAATTTTAAGATTCTAGTTGTAATAGTTTCCAAGATAAAAGAATTTGTGTATTTAATTTATATAGGAGGTGCCATCCCCTCTGCTTCTAATCCGTCTAATTTTAATCCTAAATAATCATGTTAATTCTAAAGTGACTCCGACAAAATTTGTAGACTCTAACTGTTATATTATCTCAGATATACTGATTTAATATTTTCTTAATACGGGCGTAGCTCCTCGCCCACTTAAAATTTAAGAATAAGTAGCATATAACCTCTTCCAGATATACGGGAATACACTTTGCAAATTTCAAGAAAATCGGTTCAGCCGTTTAGTAGTCTATAAACTTCATATATACAAACATATAAACATACCAACATACAAACACACATTCATTTATATATATATATATATATATATATAGATATATAGATTGAAGATAGATACCTCTCAATACCTCTCATAGTTTTGCCGTATCTGCGATGTGAAATTGAAGGATTTCGGGAGAAGTGCGATTTTTGTCAATAATTAAGTGAAAATTATACTATTAAAATTTGTTGCTTAATTTATTGAGATTATTATTTTCGAGTCTATAGAAAGTTATGTCTGATCGAATTTCCGAAATTAAGAATCATTAACCTTTAAAAAATATTGAATTGACCCCAAGTACGTCAAAGGGTTAACTTTTGAAGAAGTTTGACTCCTAGATTTGCAGATATATTTTCGAGTAGTTTGTTAAAAAATATTCATCATTAAACACACAATATTTTTCTATATTTAATGAAGAATGCCAAATATACAAAAGGGGTTAATGATTCTGAATTTCGTAAATTTGATCAGACATAACTTTATATAGAACGGGAAATAATAATCTCAATTTATTTGATCAAGATTAAGCAACAATTTGTAATAGTGGAGTTTTAATAACTCAAAAACTGTTTAACCAGGGGCGGGCTCTTACCCTCGAAATAAATGAATAATATTTTACAGTCTTCCATTTGACGTTAAAATACAACATATTTTCACTACTAGAAGTTTATCTGAGAGAAAAACCTATTTTCGACCCACACTAATGTTCATTAGCGTGTCCCGTGGACCACTTTTTTGGATGAATACCACTCAAATGTACTACATACGAGAAAAAAAAAAAACAATTTTTTTGAAAAGGTTCTCAGTTCCCTACCTGAGATTGAAAATCTTGATCGAAGTACAATATGTTCAAAAATAATTTTGTTATATGACCATAATTGGTCATAGCTCCCATACAAGTCTCCTCCGAAAAACACTTAAACGCTCATGACTCATTACTTAATTAAGACATCCATATAAAATTTGCTCTTATCTACAGAAATATTACTGTGAAATTTTTTCCGATTGGTCCATAATTGGTCATAGCTCCCACACAAGGTCCCCACCCGAAAATCACTTAAACGCACATAACTCATTACTAAATTAAGATGTCCATATAAAATTTGGTACAAGTATTGATCTTATATACAGAAATGTTACTGTGAAATTTTTTCCGATCGGTCCTTAATTGGTCATTGCTCCCATACAAGGTCCCCTCCCGAAAATCACTTAAACGAGCATAACTCATCACTAAATTAAGATATCCATATAAAATTTGGCACAAGTATTGCCTTTATATACAGAAATATTACTATTTCTTCCGATCGATCCATAATTGGTCATAGTTCCCCTACAAGGTCCCCTCCCGAAAATTACTTAAACGCACATAACTCATTACCAAATAGTGATATCCATAAAAAATTTTGTCATAAATATTATTTTTGTACACCAAAATTTTATTCACGATCGGTTCATATTTGGTCATAGCTCCCATACAAGTTTCTCTTCCGAAAATCACTAAAACGCACATAACTCATTACTAAATATTTATATCGATACATTTAGCACAAATATTGCTATACATAAATCACACTATATTTGGTCATAGCTCCCCCACAAGGTCCCCTTACGAAAATCTCTTAAACGCACATTACTAATTACCAAATAAAGCTATTGATTGGTCATATCTCCCATACTAGGCCCTGCCCCTAAAAGCACTTTAACCATATTTAACTAGTTCATTATCAATTTGTGTAGAACAAAATTATATATATGTATTTTGAAAATCCTTAAATCTTTCACACACATGCATACATGTACATTATTAAATATCGTTAAAGCATATTTAAGGGCGCACAGTGGGGAAGAATGGAAATTTTTTGGAAATAAATCTGGCATTTCTAAACGGCTGATCCGATCGGGATAAAATATGGCGTGAGCGTAGCCAAGGAGTATTCGAGTTTAAGTTTTGAAGATGAACCCTGCAGATGCCCCAGGTACGGCGCTGTGGCGGCTCAAAGTAGGGTACCTACGACATGTAAAATTTTTAAACTCGTGCCATTTTTTTGTTTTTCACCCAAATACAAAGATTTTTATATTTTCTGAAAGCGCGAGATCTTGAAAAAATATGCTTGGACATACTACTTATCTCTTATAATATCCGAGTTATAGGCATTTAAAAATTTAGTGATACAAAATTTACCATACCTTGGTCCGCCTTTTTTTGAATAACGGGCGTAATTTTGGACCAAATGGACTCAATTTTTTCTTGTTAGTTAGACAACAAAATTTCCAATAATATACAAAAAATTTCAGATCAATATCATTTACAGATTCAAAAATATACGTTTTTTAATTTAAAAATTTAGAAAATTTTAGATTTTTGCCGTTTTTTTGCCAAAAATGTGTCTTAACTCTTTTATTAATAAAATAAAATTTTCTTTAAGAACATATAACAATTTTATAGTTTTCTAAAAGGTATCTTTACGCAGAACGCTTTGGCGTAAAAAACTTGTCCTATTTTTTGAAAGTGTTGCCACTGCGTCCTTCCGAATATGACCTATTTTTTATCAAAACTTCAACTTTGGGCGACATGTTCTAAAATCCCAAAGCTGGGATCAGAAAACTGAAAGCAGTTTTGGAAACCTCAATATGTTTTCTATTTACTCCAAAAGTATTTTCCCAGCCCTGAAAGAAATGTGGACCCTATGGGCAAAAAAGTAAAAAATCCCATTTTTGGGATTTTCATTCCTATTTTTGGGAATTGCGG